ATAAAGGCAATCCAACAACTGAGATTCCCTCTTTCTGGACGACTCTAGTATGTGTCAAGTTGACAAACAGGTACCCCACTTCTAATCATTGATAACCAGTGATATCATCTCTCAGCCTTTTGGCTCAGATCAAGCGTAAAAACAAAGAACAAAAATAATAGAGGAAAACAGCCAATGTCCTTTGGTCTCTGCATGCTCATGTGTGTGCATATGCATGTACACACACACACACACACACACACACACACACACACACACACACACACATACATGCTTAGCTATTTAAAAATCCTCAATGCCATCACTACAGCATCTGTTTGTTAAGGACAGAAACACCAATGGCCAGAGTTGAAGATAGGATCTCATGGCCAGCCAGCCACGTAATGGACTTTATAGAGGAACTTGCATAAAATAAATATAGTAATGGCTGATATCTGTAGAACATTAGGATGTGTCAGGTACATAATTATTACATGTCATTCACACAACCCAAGCAGTTATTTACTGTCACCAGCCCTGTTTTACAGGTAGGGAAACTGAGGCGTATGGAGGGTAAGCATTCACAATGATATCAGCCCAGGTAGTCTAAAGCCAGAGCTCAGATATGTATCTAGAGTGATAACTATTCCCTTCTTCCTGACAAAAATGATCATGTCAGATCCTTAGTGAGGGAAGTAAAAGCCCCAGGAACATATATTCATAAGCACGTCTGGCTGGAAACATAAAAGAGGCAATTAAGATACCTAGAAAAAGCCGAAGGGGACTTCAAAGCTGAAGTGGCACAGGATCTGGCTGGTGAAAAAATGAGAGTCACCACAGTGGGCAGAGGTGTGGACAAGCACGTGTTCAGATGATACACAAGTACTCATGGGAGCCGATGACCCTGGAGCCTTCAGTTTAATAGGCTCCGAGAGATAAAAGTTGGACTCATCTTGTATTGTCTCTGTGGGGTTTGAAGTGTTAACCTCATCAGGGCTGAGCTCTCTAGCCAGACAAGCGTGGACAGTGCTGGCAGGCATTCTGTCTGATTGTCTAGCTTGAATTCGTGGGGGGACATGGAAGACCAGGACTCAGAGCAAAGCTCCCGTGAGTCTCCTTTGCTCAAGTTTCCATCTATTTTAGCCACCTTCATGCGATAGAGAGACACCCACCCTTTTTCTGTCCGGTACTTTTCTTCTTTGGAGGTCTTTATCAGTCCTATGATCTTCTTGAATTTCAGAGAGAGGGGTTTCATGGAGCCCCAGGCTTTGGTGGTCCGTGGAAATCTACTCTGCGGATAGTTGTGATTTCTCGGTTCTGATCTCTCTACCTCTCCGGACAGTCAATCTTTCCCCCACTTCCCTTCCCTGCCTACCCCTAAATGGCAGTGTTCTTCACCCCTCTGTCCCTGGCCCTTTGTCCTCTTAGGGCTTTCCTTAGGAGACACCCCTATGTAACCATTCCCTGCCTGAGAGCTGCTGACCATTTAATCCCTATCCATGACCCATCCTGGTTTCTTCCTTACACTTTCTGCTTTCCTTAACACCTTCACCTGATGGGCCCAGAGGAGCCTCAGACTCATTATGCACCAAACTTAGAGGAACTCCTCTGTAATGCCCCTTTCCTCCCCCTCACTCTGCCCCATCCAGGGCCAGGGACCTCATTCCGGGGTCTGCCCTTCACCTCTTCCTCACGTTTCTCGAATCTATTTCCCTTCCCCCGGGTTCTAGTATTTTTTTCTCTCTTCCTTGCCCCTATCGTTCTGACGGCAGCTGCCTCCCATTTGCTCTCATTGCCTCCAGACTTCTGCCTACCTAGGGTGAAAATTCTTCTGCTTGAGAATCTTGGAGGGCCCATCATCACCAATAACCAATCCCTAGCTCTCAGTCTGCTAAATCAGGCCTCATGTGACCTGGTGCCACCTCCCTGCCCCATTTCTCAGCGCTTCTCAGAATTCACGTTGTCATGGTATGACACAGTGGCGAGCAGCTTCCTGTGTTGGATCATAGGTTTTAGTTCGTCCCCCTCCTTTCCTGGAGAGTGACTTTCTCACCCCTTTTTAACTTGGTCCCTACGAACTCGCTTTTAAAGGAGCCCAGACATCTGGCTTAGGCAACCCTCCCCAAGGCACTGAGCAAGAAAGGACTCCCATTGGCATCCTGAGCCTATCATCCCATAACATAGGCATGACATCTTTGGGAGCCTTTGACTATTGTTAGACCATACACTTGTCAACATCTTGGTGTCTTTGTCCCAGTGGCTAATGCAACACCCCACAGAGAATAGAAACCCTGATATATTGTTCACTAGAACACAACACCTTCAGAGAAGGGAGTCTAACTTCTCCAACCTTGGACTCCAAGCAGCACTTGACGGAAGTTTCATGAGTGAAGGCTGGCTGGTGTCATGGACAGCCATGATGGTAGGGGAGTCTGGATCACACAGCTCCTCATGTGCCAGGGCATTTTACCCCTGGGGAGCATACATTCTGAGAGAGAGGTTTGAAGGGATTAAACTCTCTATTAAGGGAGCAATCTGCTCGGTCTGCAGAAGATGGCAGACCCTCCCATGAGCTATGCCGTGGAACTATTGTTAATGAGAGGAACCATAAAGGGGATTATGGAAAAAGGGAGGGGATTGGTTGGCACTGAGGGAAGATACTGGGTTTCCCCAAGTGGGTTCTTTTTGTATCTAGAGGAAAGCTTCTGGCCCCTCTTTCCACTGAGATGTTCAGTGCTCCCTTCCCAGACTGTCACCCTCATGGTTTGTCTCTGTTTTTGCAATGCAGCATTTAAATAGTGAACAAGGCAACCAGAGCCAACAAGAGGAGCCTCTGTTGACCCTAATGGGCCTCTAAACCTTAAAGGGTGGAGGACCCACATTTTCAACACCCACCTCTGGCTGGCCCACCAGCAAAACCAGCCGGGCTGGTTGTAATGTATTATTAGAAAGCCCACACGCCAGTCCTTGGAACAACAGAGACACTTGTTTCTTGTTTCCCATTCTGGGGACCTAAGCTTGGGTGATGGGGCAGGAGGGCGATGGTGGCAGCAGGAGCGAGCATCTCATAGGCTTTGCAGGGTGAGTGGGTTCAAAGCTGCCCTGCCCCTTATACACATAGCTCCAGGGCTGCGAACAAATGACTGATTTCTCTGAGGTGACTGAACCTTCACAAGGGATAGTGAGATTTCAGATGCCATGAGAAGGCAGTGGGTAGAAGGCAGGAGAAGAGGTGCTTGCAGGAGGCTAGCCCCTGACACAGGCACTTTCTGACGACATTCACAGGCTGGGATGCTAGATGGAGGTGACGGCCACCTGTTACTTCTCCAGGGCACTGGCCCAGCACTGTGCGGAAGGGGTGCTGTCCAGACCCCCTCTGCTGGTCCTGTGGAGCCCTGTCCCCTCTCTTGCTGAACCTGAGTGAGGGGGAATTCTGCTTCAGGGAAAAGAATTTTCTAGGCTGTCTGTGGGAAGTGATGTTCACTTGGTCTTTTTATAGACTTCTCATTGTTAATCATTTTCCTTTCTACCTCGCCTTCTTTCCTTTCCTTTCCTTTTTTTTTTTTTTTTTTAAATCTGGAAGAGCCACATAAAAATGGGAGGATTGGTCCTTCAAACAACCCCTAGAACCAGCATACATATCATCTTAAAAACTGTAATGAGTTGGGACTGACATCGAATCACCACCTATTTCAGGGAAAACAAAAGCATTCATTTTCCATCTCTTTCCAGTCAGAAAGGTAAATGATGCCCTGAGGAGAAAGGCAACTGGAACAGAGCTGAGGAGCAAAAGGCGGCAGAGGAGCTTGCTTCTTTTTTACTGTATTTTGTTTCCATTTCGGGGGGGGGGTTAGGCAGCAACGGACACCAGGGTCTCCTCTCCAGGCTCTCCTGGGAAAGCAAGGGACCCCATTTCCAGCCAGGTCTGGGGTAGGGGCATTGGTGTGAGTTGCTCGGTAGTACAGAGAAATCATACCACAGGAGAGTCGAAGAACATTTGCCTGCTTCCTCCTGAGGGCTGCATAGAGGGTGTCCTGTGTTAAACCCACCACCAGTCCCTGCTCTCCATCCACTCTATGCAGCCCCATGCCACTGGGTTTTAGTGTGCCCGAACATCTCCGTGAGGTCCCCAAGTGTGGTGCACACAGTTTTCAGCCCACAACTGCCCTAGTAGGGATGATAAAACCTTCTGCGATAAACCACCAACCAGAACCTTCCCTGAGTCTGAGCAGGTGCCCAAGAGGCTGTGTGTGCACTGCTGAATTTGACTAACCTCTTCCTGACCCAATGCTGCATCAGATAAGGGTGCAAGTGTGGCCTGTAGCACAGCCCAGAAGTTCTCAGTATCTCCCAAAGACCCCATCCCTGTTCTTAATCTGGAGGGAGGGAGGAGGGAGAGAGAGAGAGAGAGAGAGAGAGAGAGAGAGAGAGAGAGAGAGAGAGAATGAGCAGGCACATTACCTCCAGAAGATGATCTGCCCCAAGGAAGCCATGGTGAGGGAAGAGTGGGGTGGTGAGTGGAGCTGCCTGCCGCTGCCCTCCTGCGTGTTGTGACTCACAAGGAGCACCTGTGGGCCGGCTTTAAATAATGCAGGCCGGGAGGGGTGTATGCAGCTGTGGACAGCTCAGGTATGAGGAAACAGCTCCGTGGAGCCAAGGCCCAGGGAAGCCGTCCAGGCCCCAACCTGTGAGAGAATGAGGAGAAGTTTCCCAGCCCCGACCTCAGAGGGCAGGGGGAGGGGGCCTGAATTCAGACAGGTCTTTAGCTTCCAACTGCATAAGGGAGAGCTAGCTAAGGGGGATCCAAGCTCACAGTCTGTCAGAGGAGTCCAGGAGACTGCAGGGGTATAGAAGTGCCCATTCCTGCCGATGCTGACCTCAGACATAGGCTGGGTCACCCCATAGAGTCTCTCTCTGCTGCATCTGATCCTGGCCAGTGCTGACCTCTGACAGTAGACTGGCTCGTCATCCCCCCCCTTACCCCCTCTTTACCCCCCCCCCATGCCATAGAGTCATTCTCACACATCTGATTCATGCTGGGGCACCACAGAGAGGCTAGCTGAAGAGACAAGAACCCTATTATGTTACTGAAGATCTCTGACAAAGTCCAGCATATGAGCAAATCTCTTCTGGTTTTCTTTCAGTGAAAGTGAAAAGGACCTCCTTGCTGTCCTCCCACCCCAAACCCCCATTTCTTGTTGCTGTTTTGAGGTTCCAGAGATGTTGAGGATACATTGCAGGGAAAATTGTTCAAAGTGAATGGATTAGCATTCCGATTTTTAACTGCAAGGCAGATCAGTCTCTCTGTCTCTGTCTCTGGGTCTCTCCGGTCTCTGAGATGAATCTCACACTAGTCCTGGCTGACTGGCTTCAAACTCACTAAGCTCTCTATGTAGCCCAGGCTGGCTCATACTTCTGTTAATCCTCTTGCCTTAGCTCCTAAGCACTGGTATTACAGCCTAGGATGCTTCCAAAGGAAGAAAGCTTGCTTCCTACATATTGTCTCCTCTACTCTTGGAAGGGGAAAGTCCTCGATGGCAAAGTGACTTTATAGGAGAGGAGGAGAGGTGCCTCAGGCCTTCTGTGGTCATTCCAGATTGGACCAGGGGCTTTTGGAATCACCAAGGAGTAGAGCTGAGGAGGAAGGACTGAGTGGCAAGAAGAGACGACTTCAGACGAGAGACTGTTTCCCTGGGAACTGATCGTTGCAGTCAAGGACAGGCAGGTCAATTTCCTGGATAGTTTCAAGATGAACACTCTGCCTTTCTCTAATGCATCTCTTCCAGGGTTAGTGGGTTCAGGAGAGGGTTCGGTGCTTTCTCTCTCCCTAAAAAAAGCTAAGAGCAATGCCCTGGAATCCAAAGTGCCCGTGAAGATGGGACTTGTAGGGACTGGGAAGCTGAGGTCACTGGAGGCCATAGCTTCCCTAGATCTATACATTCTGACTCAGGCACAGAGCCCTAAGAAGAGGGGCCCCGCCCCCAACACTCCTTCAGCAGCCACAGGCTGTCACCAAGGGAAGGTCTAAGGAAGGCCCTGGAAGGAAGCAGGACAACCCAGTAGACAGCCCTCTGAGAGAGCAAGTCACCAGGGGGAAGATTCTGCCATTTCTGGAGAAGTAAACTGATATCACTCCAGCTCTGGCTGTGAAACTGGAACAGTAAACGCAATGAAGAAATGGGAAAGGGCATTGGTGCGTGCGTGCGTGTGTGTGTGTGTGTGTGTGTGTGTGTGTGTGTGTGTGTGTGTGTAGACACAGAGAGACAGACAGAATGCCAGAAGCTTTGATCCCTCTTCAGCACTTGAGGGACATGACACTGTTCTCCACGACTCTCTGCTAATGCCCCGTCATTTTCCTTCACTCTCTCGTAAGCAATGGGCTTCTCTGGGATTAAGTCCTCTGCCCACTCTTTACACAGCACGATGCCCCTAGAGTGGCCTCAACCACTGCTCTGCTTCAGCTGCCCTGTATCTGGAATCCCCAACACCACATCCTGGGCTCATGCCCCTTGAGCTCCGACCCCACACAGCCAGCTGCTCATCTCCACTGCGCTCTCCCTCAGAGACGCCACAAGCAGACAGCATCATCTACGTCTGCAGCCTCGCCAGTCTGCCTTGTTACACCTCTCGGAACACAGCAGCCCTGTGTGCTATTGTCAAGGCCAAGGGAATAAGCTGATGACCATTAAAAAGAAAAGGCACACAATTGATTCACAACCAGAAGGAGAAAGGCATGCATGCACAGGGAGAGTCGCAGGAGTGATACAGTCCCCCACTTGACATTATTAAAAACCATGGTGCCCTGTTTGCTCTAAGGACAGTTTCAGAGGCTCACAGGCGCTTATTAGGAGGTTTCCAAGAGGCCTCTGTGGAATTTGAAGGTGCACAAGGAGAGACATTATCCTTTCAGTCTCACTGACTTGCCGGGGCTTCACCGTAGGGTGGAAGGCAGCGCTCTCTTAACAGAGATGGGAAATTCCAGAGCTTCCACTCAGTCATGGGTGGACAGCAGCAAGCTTTTCCTCTAGGCCAAATGCTTCCTGTGTCTCCAAACACCGTATTTGGGTGGTATCGTCCTTTGAGGCTCAGCATGGGGCTGCACAAGTCAGGAACTTGAGCGTCACGTTTTCCTCCCTCTTCCCTTGCTCCGTACATCCCTGCGTCCACCCATCTCCTGACTCTTCCGCTTTGATGGCTTTGGTACGGTGGTCAGAACAAAGTGCGACAGGCTGGGTGTTCAGTCTGTGGATGATGTGTGGACAGGCTCCATGTCTCCTGAAGCCCACCCCCTCGCCTTGGCTTGGGGTCTTAAATCTTCGCAGTCTTCTTCTGCAGAGCTATTTGACAGGTGACTCACAACCATCTGTGACTTCAGTTCCGTGACCTCCTCTGATGTCTGTGGGTTCGTGCACACACATGTGCATACACATACACTCAGGTACACATACACATACGAAAGAAAATAAATATGAATTAAACAAAAATTTAGTTTACAAGTGCCATTGTTCCCTGAGGCAGCCCCTAGGGGGCATTTGACCCACTTCTGCAATGATCTTTCTAAAACAAAGATCCAATGAAACTATCTATCTTCCTCCTGGGCTCTGGCCTCTGCCCAGCTCTCCAGATTTCCCTCTCCTGGCCCCTTCTCACTCTGTGGGCCAGGCAGGCTGCACTGCTTTCTCTCAAGTGTCCTACTTTCCCAGGCCACTCAACCTGGCTATATCTCTCCCCCTGGAATCTCCCCCTGCCTTTTTCTTGGTTTATACGAAACTGTGGGAAATCTTCCCCAACCACTTCTACCTGGCAGGTTCTGTTCTCTCTGCTCCCACGCAACACTGGTGCTGACTCCCGAGGTTCTGTCTGAATTGTGACTGTTGACTTGTCTCTCTCCTCGACCAGTCACACCATAAAAACAGAAGAGGTCTCTTAACCCTCTTTGTATTTCACACTAACTTGAGGCATGCACAGAACAAGCGATCGTTAAATATTTGCTGAATAGACACATCTGCTCCTTTCAAAGTGCACAAGCATGGCACTGTTTCCTGTTTCTACATCTGTCTTGCTGCTGGTCTGTGAGCTCCTGGAGGATAAAAACCATCTTTTTCTTTGTCACCAGGTCCTAGCACCCACCCAGACATAAAAAGGACTTGGTAACACTTGATGGATGGGGAACAGGGAGCAGCTTGGGCTGTGATCCATCAAGCACTTCCTGGAGCTGTCTGGTGAGTTGGATTGACACCATTAGAGGCAGAAGAAAACATGCTGTGTTGGAAAAGAAGGAGCCATTTAGGCTTGAGCACAAAAGCGAAAGCAGAAATAATTGGTTTTTTGAAATAAAATCAGTTTCCTTTTTATTGATCTTAGGGAGAGAAAGTGACAGAGACAAATTTAACGCATATGGAATGAAAAAAAAAAAGTCCTCTCATGAATTTTTAAGGTGATTTACACAGCTGGGCCTCAGACTTCTCACTGAGTATCATACGTCTTTCTGTGCACCAGGCTTAATGTCTCCTGAAACAGTGGATCCTGGCCATGACAGGAAGAGCATCCACACCTGTGTGAGGCTTCCACTGTTCTCACAGAAGACCCTGAGCTCACACGACCCTTACCACAAATAACCTTGGCGAGGAGTTTTACAATCGGGAGAGACTAAACCCTAGGGACCGAGAGAGCTGTTCAAAGCCAACCAGTGTGAGTTTCCCTAGGTCTTATTTGCTTATGTGTATACATGGGATCATACTAACAAAAGTAACACAGATTTCAAAGTTCCTGAACCTGAATTCTAAAACCAAACTTCCAGCTTATCTCTAAACTTTACCTTTCGTAGTCTTAGCTAAGACATTGCCTAAAGTGTCTCAGAAAAACTGTTGAGGATTCACCCACCAAGGGCCGCCCCCTAGGAACATGCTTTCCTATACTGGTGCCTTTGAGCAATCCAGGCTCGCACTGATGCTCAGCTTCCGTAACATGAACAGACAGACAGACAGACAGACAGACGGGGGTGGGGTGGCCTATCTGGCCATGGAGCACTCTTCTGTTGCCCCATGAAAAGGGGGAAATGTGATCGGCCATTCCGGCTGAGACCCCTGGAACAACAGCCTCACCCGACCTGGCAGCTGATTTCAGCCACACAGATAACCTCGGGTGAGAAGAACCTATCAGCTCAGCCCAGCTTACATAACAGTGAACAAATAAAGGGCTGTGGTCTCGAGGTACTACATTTGGGGGTGGTTTGTTATGTAAGCAGTAGGAAACAGATACATGTTCTTTACCTTACTCTGCTCCACATTTCTCTCTGAAGTTCTCTGGAGCAACCTACTGTGTCATTTCACTGTTGCCGGGACACACTAAGTCAACCATAACATCTGCTGCAAAAAAAAACGGAAACACTGCTTCTAACTGGAAGCATGCTGATACAATGTTACACCCGCGTGCCCATATACAACCATGCCTATGCATGCCGCAGAGTTTTAAAAAAGAAAAAAAAATTGTTATTGGATCTGGATGCAGGGAAGCAATACAGAGGTGCCCATGTTAGTTAGGTTTTGTCTTTCTGACAAACAGCCAAGCAAAACCGGGTCAAATAGGAAGGCTCTACCTTGGCTCATGTCTTCATGGTTCTAAGATCAGCTGTCTCCTCCGCTTTCACCTCCTCCTGAGGCAAGGTGCAATATCATGGCATTCAGATGTGCTGGCACAGAGAGGCTAACCTCATGGCCACCAGGAAAGAGAAAAGAGTGTAAGACAGGGAAGCCGAGGCATGGTAGACCCTTCCTAGACACGCCTAGTGACCTACTTCCTCCAGCCAAGCCTTCGCCGCTAACAGCCCACTCTGAACTCACCTCTGGTGTAAGCCCTCGGTGAAGTTAGACGTGAGCAAGCTTTCAACACACAAACTTTCAGGAGGACTCTCAATACACGAACCATACTAGGACCCTCAGCTGTCCGAAGCCAGAGCCAGACAGACCTTTTTTTCAGAAAGATTTCAGGCACTCTTCTATAACTCAAGACCAGCTCTAAAAATAATCCCCTGTGGTTAGCTAGGTGTGGTGGTTTGAATGAGAAATGTTCCCCACAGGCTGGGGTGTTTGCACAGGAGGTTCTCTGCTTGTTTGGGGAGGCTTAGGGAGCCCAGCCCTGCTGGACGAAGATTACATAGGCACACCCCACTTCCGGTTTGCTCTCTCTGCCGAGTTGCCGAATTTAAAGATGGAAGCTCTCAGCTTCCTGCTGCGGTGCCTCCTCACCACCAGGGACTCTTAGCCCTCTGGAACCAAAGCCCCAGTGAACTCTTTCTTCTATAGATTGCCTTGGTCAGGATGTTTTATCACAGCAACAGAAAAGTGACTAGTATATCACGAAGCTTTGTTTTTTTTTTAAGATAGTTTATTAGAGAAGATATTTTTAAATGTACTTTTTATTAACTTTCTTTTTATTTATTCTTTGTGCCTTTCACTTCATGCCTCCCACTCCCACCCATCTCCCTCCCCTCCCCCAATATAAAACAAAATAAAATTTGAGAGAAAAAAGGGGAAAGAAGGGTGAAGGGGAAACATCTCGTCATGGAAGCTGCAGTGTGACACAGTGAGTCACTCAGTAGACCCCTTTACCCATATATTTTTAAATGCAGGTTTTCATCGCAAAGAATGATTGGTCTCTCTCTCTTATGACCTCAGGGCCAGTTCTTCCACCCGCCTCAGGCTTGATGGGCAGGGGAGTAGGGGTGGGGTTAGGGGTGGGGGTTGGAGTAGGGGTGGGGGTTTCTCCCTCGCCCATGCTGCCCCGTGACAGATGAGTAATGGGGACAGCTCTCCCATGATCACAACATCAGAGCTGGCTCACCCATACCTCCGCCACCAGGGTCAGCTCTACTGTGCTGCCCAGTTGAGGTGCAGGGTCCTCTTTCCTGAGTGCTGCAGCTGGTAAGGGGGAGGGCCAGCTCCATCACTCACCACAGGTGGCAGGGTCAAGGTAGGGGGAGGACACCTTTCCCTTGCCATCACCACCACGTGGCAGGCAGGGGTGTGTGACCAGCTATCCCACTCTCGTACGCTCAGGGCTACCTCACCTGCACCTCTGCCAACAGAGTCAGCTTTTTAAATGTATTTTTATTTGTAGTTGATACATAGTAATTAATTGTACCTATTTTTTTTTTTTTTTTTTTTTTTTTTTGGTTTTTCGAGACAGGGTTTCTCTGTGTAGCTTTGCGCCTCTCCTGGAACTCACTTGGTAGCCCAGGCTGGCCTCGAACTCACAGAGATCCGCCTGGCTCTGCCTCCCGAGTGCTGGGATTAAAGGCGTGCGCCACCACCGCCCGGCAATTGTACCTATTTTTATAGAGGACAGAGTAACATTTAGTACATGTGTAGTTTAACTGGTCAGATCAGAGTCACTGGCATTATATCATCTCAGTCATACGTCCTTGCCTTGTGTTGAGGAAGATTCCAGATTATCTCTACTAGTTATTTGAAACATACCACCGATTATTGTCAAGCACATTTAGAGGGAAGATCATAATGCTCAGCAGAACTAGCAAGAACAGACCTTGTAATTTTATCACTGCAAGCCTCAAAGGGTTCAGCAAGGGTTGCTGCTGTTTAGTCAATATTCAGGAGTTGGACTGAAATACAGTCCAGTGATAAAGCACTCACGTAGCACGTGCAAGGCCTTGGCTTCAAGCCACAGTCCCGAAAAAAATTAAGGAGCTACCACTTCCTCTGAGGAGAACAGTGTCTGAGGCAGATGCCATGCCTTCTCTCAGTCTTCCCTTTCAGCCCAAGCCCCCAGACATAGACTCCTGGAAGCCCACCTATGATGGGCTTAGCAGCTGACAGTTTCATGTCATCCTTGCAATACTCACTAAGGCGGAGTACATTGGAGGCTGGGTGAAATCTCTGGTCAGCTGACTCCAAGTTCAGTGCCACCCCGCCAAGTCTTAGGAGACATTGCTAACTGGCCACGGTTCCCTTTTCCTATCGGAGTGGGGATGGTGCCCGTGAGAACAGCAAGCAGGCATCTCTTACCCAGCAGTTGGAGGTGGCTGTTGTGGTCCATGGAGGTCGTCAGTACCAAAGAGGCTGGCTGAGAGAGAGTAACATCTCTGGGTGCAGGGTCTGAAGTGGGAAAGTAATGGCAGGTTTGTTCCTTCTGAGGGCTGTGGGACGAGAGTCTGTCTTTGTCCCATAGGTGGTGACCCCATTCCTCCTTTCACATTGTCTCCTGGGCACATATGTCTGGATGTCTCCCTTGTCGCCTGTGTGTATAACCCATCCAGATGACCTCACTGTAACACAGTTACTTCTGTAAGGAGACTCTTTCCAACAAAGGTCGCATTTTGGGCTCCTGAGGAGGGAGGGGTTGTCAAGGCTCCAATATATCCTTTTGGTGGGTGCCGAAATCTTTTTGTTCCTCGTAACTCACATGTTGAAATGATATCTTTTTGTGTCAGCCCTTTGCAGAGCTGAGAGTTGAACCCAGAACCTTGTATGCTCTGGAAGTGTTCAGCACTGAGCTACACCCCCAGTACCCTCCCTATACGCTGAAATCTGAACCTGCAGGGCATTGGGGGGGTGTTTGGGGAGTTGAGTTAGGATCAGATCAATGCCTTGCTAGAAGGAACCCCAGGGACAACTCTTGCTCCCTCCTTTCTGCCACGTGAAGAAACCACAAAAGGTTAGCAGTCTCTATCCCAGAATAGTCCCCCATCGAACCTCGACCATGATGGAACCTCAGTCTGGGACTTCCAGCCCTCGAACTCTGAGAAACAAATGTTGTTTATTGCCTGGAATGTGGTATTTTGTTATGGCAGCCCAAGGTGACAACTCAAAACGCTGGAACAAAACTTTACAGCCCCTTGGCCAGAGGGTGGTGGTGCACGCCTTTAATCCCAGCACTCGGGAGCCAGAGGCAGGAGGATCTCTGTGAGTTGGAGGCCAGTCTGGTCTACAGAGTCAGTTCCAAGGCAGCCAGTAAACTCTACAGCCCCTGGCTGAGGCCCTCTTTTCTTCCTTTCCTGAATGCCCCTGCCTCGGTCTATTTGGCCATTCTCTTTTCTCAGCAGCGTCTAAGACGTGGGGGCCAGAGGCTGGATAAGAGGCTGAGATAGCTCTGACATTCATAACCACAGGACTTCGTGGGGGAGACCAGGTCCTCAGCGGCCTCAGGTCAGCATGTCATTCCCAAAGCTACCCATCCACAGACAGACAGCCAGGAGCCGTTGCTGTCACTCAAGGGAGGAGAAGTCTTCCTCAACCTATGGACGGGATTGGTCCTGTGCCTTCCTAGCCAATGGAATGTGTGTAGGCGGGACATGTGCTCCCGGTAGGAAGCTGTCAGAGACTGTTGGGGTTTGACTACTCTTGCGGGGTGCAAGACTCACTGTTCCCTTAGGTGGGAGTGGCTCCTCAGCCTGGCCTTACAGCTGATGCCTGGAATTTGGGCTCACCCATGGTAGGTGTGGAGCATGAGCATGGAAAACACCTTTTGTGCCAAAGCCACTGAGATTTAACAGGTGTTTGTTTTTGGCCTTGGCCTTGCCAATCCTGGCTAATGTCACAACCTTTTCAAATAGAGAAAAACTGAGCTTTAATTAGTAAGTGCAGTTCTGTGGCTGTACCTCAGTGGTAAAGCCTTGCTGAGGAAACCCTGGGCTTGATTCCCAGCACTGCAAGAAAAAGAACATAAATCTGCAACTGTGTAGCAAACACAGGGTGAATTCCACGTGAGTCAAAGTTTAAGTGTAGTTTATGAGTCTACAACAGGACTAAACAAAGATGATAATTACCTTTGTAATCTTAGAACGGGGAAGGGCTTCCCAAATACAGCTCAAAATCCAGAACCTAAGACCATAGAAAGTGATAAATAGCACAAAACCAGAAAGTATCCCAGGAGAATCAATAAGGAAAAGAACTTAGGTTGGGTTCTAGCTGGTGGGCTGATGACCTCACATTCTCTTCTCTTTACTCTCCTGTGTTGTCTTCTCGTCCAGTCTCCAGCCGCAGAACTCTCATTTCCTGTGGTCATTGGGTCAGCAGCAGACACAACCCAGAGACTTCAAACACACGGATACTGGTACTGACTCACTTGCTGGTATTTTGCTTGTTTTTAAAGCTTTTTCTAACTGTCTTGTGAGCACCCTGAGAAGGCTTCTGGACTACCAGGTGGCTGGCTACGTCCGGCTTCTCCACTGACCGCAAAGGGCAAGGGCTCCTGGTGGAACCTGGAGGTATTGCCTCAGCTGAGTCCATCGTGAGCAAACAAGTGGCCATTGTTTCAAGTGAATGCTTTCTGCGGTGGTTTGTGACACAGGGGAAAAAAAAATATCATTGATGCAATAAACCAAATGAGAATCAAAAGACAAACGGTAAATGGGGGAAGGTCTCACAGCTCTTTCCCTGAAGAGCTGTTTCTCACATAAAAGTTCCCGATAATCCCAGAGAAAAATGGCTGCAGGATATGAGTTTACTCTTCGTTAAAAAGGAATCACAAATAGCATTCAATATGTGTGAAAATGTAATTTCAGCCATAAGATTAATGCCAAGTAAAGCTATAGGCATTTTAATGTTCCAGACTGGCCAGCAGGCTGTGCTGGCCATGGGATAGGGAGACAGGCACTCTTCTATGATACAGATGGGAGTGTCCAACAGGACAATTTGGTACGACCAGTGACAATTAGAAATACACAAGTAGTTTAGTCCAGTAATTGCCATTTTAGAGGTTTCTCCTACAAATGGACCAACAAACCGAAGGCCCAATGTGATTCCCTTCAGCCGTTCCCAATAGCAAGAATCCGGCAGCAACTTAAGCAGTCCCCAAGGGGAAATAGATGAGTGAGCGAGAGTCATCCAAGCCATAGAATGCTGTGCATACACGTAGGAGGATAAGGATGCCGATGTGTGCTGCTATGAAAAGCTAGCCAAGATGTCAGTGCGTGACGCCAGCTCTAGAGGCACGCACATGCACACACACATGCACGCACGCATGCACGCACGCACGCACGCACGCTTTTGCCTTTGCTTGTGTCTGTTTTTCACTGTCTTCTAGGCACACGTGAGGTTCTTTCCTGTCTTTAGGTTTCTTCACAATCCTGGCACATGGTCTACTTTTCTTCTCTCTCATAGCCCAGACATTTCCCATCCTTTAGAGTCTAAAATCAGCCCACCTTCACCTTTGAAAACATCCATGACCACGCCCCTTAGCGTTAACCTTT